GTCCTAAGCCATTTCAAGCCTATTTCGTCTTGTACATTTACATGATTTATCACTTATTATTCTAACTCTTTTCAATCATGCAATCCATGCTTTAATGCACATGAATACCACGCTTGATATATTTCACAGAATGGCTTAATTTTGTAACTAGCTATTTCATGTGTATGTAATAGAGTATTCCACACATGATCTGTCTTCTCAAAATGGGTTGAGTTTTGTAACCTTCCATTCCAAGCATGATAGTGAGTTGTTCCATGTGTGATTCATCACACAGAATTGGCTTTAGTATTCTATAAGAAAATTCACGCATGAGAACCTAAGGGTCACATACCTATTTTGTCACACAAAATGGTTTGCATATTCTTTTCCTTCAAAACACCTGTGACTCACCCTAGTGTTCAAGCTTAAGTTGTCACATATGCTTGACTGGAACTTGGCTAGCTCCATTTTACGAGTGGATTACCTTGTTACATGTAAGAAATGTGATCAACAAGTGGATACACTATTCCAATAATCTATTAACTGTCAAAACTATATATGTGATACAATTCAAGTCTAGAACAAGAATTATAATCATTGAGTGAACTATTTATCTTTTGAGCATTCTAAAAAGCTTTCATTTGTGCATTAAAGTATTGTATTTATATATTTATCATTCTTGATAAATATTATGAAAAAGCTCTCATAAGTTCTTAAGCTTTCAACTGTACTTATTCTACTTTTTCAAGAGAGTTCATCTTTGAAAATTCTTTACTTTGTAAATAAGCTAAAATCTTGAAAATGAGTTTTTCAAGTGATTTGTAATAACTTGCCGAGTGTAGTAAGTTTTGTTGTTGAAACAAGACACGTAAAGTCTTAAGAGTTGTACTATGGTTGTAACTACCTATTGAAGCTTGTGAGTCTTGTTGTAAATCTCAAGGGTAATCTTAAGGATAGGACGTAGGCCAAGTTTTTGGATTAAACCAACATAAATCTCTCATGTCAATTCTCTCAACTTCTTACATCTATCTTCTTCTCCTTTAAGTTTTCCAGAAAAATCTATTATCGCCTAATTTACCCCCTCTTAGTTACTAGCCTATCCAACAACAAGTCAAAAATATCTACTAAGGCTTCACATACTCTTGCCCTAGTAGACTAAAACCTCTTCTACCTATCTTTTATCTCTTTCTCTCCTCTGACTCTTGAGCTGGATACACACTCGCTTATTTAAGTTTTGTGCCATATACCACAGCACATGCATCTTATGCAATGGCTTGTGGCATAATGAGTGAATTCTTACTGTTGCTCACATGTTTCACTTTGAAATATTATTCTTTCACTTAATCATATCTATTCAAGAGCACAATAGATCAAAACATTGACTTGCTTTTCAAAAATCTTGATTATTCAATTAATCTACTAATTTACTAATTTATCTTAATTAGCAATTAGTTTTTGAATTAGGAAATTTAGGATGTTACATCTGACTTGTCACTTACCAGTTAAGTTTTATACTACCCTACTCTCTCATTCTACCCTAATTTCTCTTGGTTTAAAATATAGAGAAATTGAATTGGGGAGTTTTAAGGAATGGTTTTCTAACTCAATAGTTATAAAAAGGCTATTAGGTATTAAACTAAGTTTTTGCAATTGGTTTGAGAATTAATGGTTGAGTTTTAAAGTTATAGGCTCAATTCAACTTAAATTAAGAAGTTTTGAAAGGGTGAAAATGCTTGTGTGGATTATTAGAAGGTTAATGAAGCTATAAGAGGCATGGTTCTTAATTAAAAGTGACTAAGTGTTAAAGTGAGCTTAACTTAGTTTAATTGTGTTAGTTAGTACTTATGGTCAATGTGTAATTGACACATAGTGCTAAATTGTGTAGATTTACGTGGCTCACAAGTGTTTTGAGCAAGTGGTTGCTAAAAGTGAAAAGAGAACCATAGGTAACCCTTTCTAAAATTAGAAAAGTTGAGGTAACTAGATAATTCATTCTATTTAATAGCTAGTTTAATTGTTTACAAGTAAATTGTATAATATGATATATGTAATTTTAATGATTGGCATCATTTGGAAACTTGCAGCATGATTTTGAATTTGAAAGAGATTTGATTTATAAAGTAAATTTATATAGAAATTTGCTTTAACAGTTAAATGAAAAGTGAACTATTTTACATATATGTGAATATATGATTATATATTATGTAAAAAAGCATGATCATGATAAAGGTAGGAGTTCTCCCTAGGTAGAGTATTGTGAAAGTCCATATGGTAGTAATACATTCTCTTTAGTGCCCTAAAGGGTGTTGTTGGAGGATTTCTCTTCTTAATACCTATATGGGTGCAGTGTTGGAGATTACGTTCCTTAGCATCTGTGAGATGCAGTATTGAAGTAACGACACCTTAATTATGTGTGTGATAGGAGGAATCCATAGTTCAGAAGTAGAATAGAATATCTTTGGCCGAGTGATTCTATCATTGAAAGTATGCTCGAATTAATTTATATAAAATTGGTCCAGTAAAGCCTATGGGTTCAGCCAGGGTGATATGGAGGTGCAGTTAGATAGATGATCATGCGTGAGAATATTTGTATCTACGAAAATGGATATGTGTGTGTGTGTGTATATATATATATATAATATAATTATAATGTTTTTATTTACTTGTTTATAGTTATTCTTAAAAATATATAGTTTTGGATTATTTTGATTGTTGAGACTTTGTCTCACCTCATAGTTACTATTTTACAAGTTCTAATATGGATAAGAGGAAAGACTCAGGCTAAGAGTAGTGTACTACTACTTCGGCATTTCTGAGCTTATGTAATCAAATTGTGTTGTTGTAAATATTAGTGTATATATAAGATGCCATAGGAATGCATATGCAAGATCCTACATCTAATGCATCAAAGTAAAGCACCAAGGTGCCTAAGTATGGTACTCTATGCCATAAAGTGAGAAGCCTTCGGTGCACATAGAAATGAGTAAAGTTAGAGATACACTTTATGATGCAATAAATTAATCAGAAATAAGAAAAGAGAAATTAATGCATGTTTTACGATGCAAAGAGATAAGTATTTATGTGTATGAAAAAGGAGAAATAAATAGCTTACTAGTGTAACAAGTGTTATTGTTGAACTAAGGTTGGTGTAATCTTAAGAGTTATACTATGGTGGAAAGTACCCATTGAAACTTGTGATTTTAGTTGAAAATCTTAAAGTAATCTTAAGGATTGGAAGTAAGTCAAGTGGTTAGGTTAAACCAGGATAAATCCTTTAGGTCAAGCTTTTCTTATCAAGTTCCTTAATTCTCCAGTTTTTGTCTTGCATTCTTGTCTACATTTTCTTAGGTTGGGAAAAAGTTTAGAAAAAATCTTTGAACACCCAATTCAATCCCCTCTTAGGTACCAGCTTGATCTTACAATCTTCAAGACTAGATGTAAGCCAAGTAGTTAGGCTGAACTAAAATAAATTTCTTGTGTCAAGCTTTTTCTTTCCATAATCTCCTTAACTGTCAAAAGCTTTTGGCATTGAGATTCATTTCTATATTCATCATCTTTATGGGTTGAGAAAAGCTTTGTGAAAATTTTTAAACACCCAATTCACCTTTTTTTTGGGTGATAGCCTTATCCAACAAGGAGTCTAAAGTTTGTTCTATATAATGAATGCATTCTTACCATATTAGCTATGTGAATAGCTCTCATTAATTTTTAAATTGAATCTAAGAGAAGAGACAAAATTAAGCTTATAAAACTAAGTCATCTCTTGATCTTTCAAGTTCTTGGGAGTTTAATCACTTCATTATTCAACATTTGATTTGCACAAATAAAAAATCCCTTTTCTCTTAGTTTTGTAAAAACACATAATTTAACAACCAGTTCATGATTAAATAGGTTGAACTAACCAATCCGGCCTATTTTTAAAACCCTGCTTTTTACATCAATTTCTTATACTACATCGATTATAAGTAAAACTAATATGGAAAGTAATTAATTTTTTAAATTTTAAAAATCTTAATCACTTTTTATATTGGTTGTTCTGATATAAAAAGTCCAATAGGCAATTTAATAATTATAAAATTGTCACTGCCTTGATCTTCTACAACATTTTTCTAGCAATTAATGCAAAAAGTCCTCTGTAAAAAGCCAAATTTGTATGTGGGCTTCATATCTACATGTACATGTTTGTCTTAGTCAATAGTTGACCCAGTATTTGAATCCATAAGTGCTATGTCATTTGGCCTGGCTGGAGACGTGACATAAGGGCAGGAATTTCTTGGGAGAAACCTGACAGGGGATGGATCAAAACTCAATGTCGATGGTGGTGCTAGTTTCAAGCGAGGGGACAAAGCTGGATGTGGGGGAACTACTAAGAAATCATGAAGGAAAGCGGAAGAGTGGTTCTGTAGAAGAGTGGGGAGATGTTCTGCAATTGAAGCAGAGGTTTGGGGTGTGATCACTGGAATCAACATATTGAGGGAAGAGGAAGGACAGAATCTAATTATTGAAACTAATTCCTTAACCGTTGCAAAAATGATTGATGAGTTACTATGCACAAGCATGTCTAACTCTCGAGCCATGAGGAAGGTTGGGAGCGTGTTGGGAAGTAGGTGGAATATGCAAATCTCTCATGTAATGTGTGAGGGGAATCAATGTGCAGATTCGTTGGCAAAATGAAGCTATCTTCCAACCAGTGTCGTCCAGTCATTGCATGAGTCTTTGTCAAGGATGCGCGAGCTTTCTAGCCCACGTTTAATTTCTTAGTTACTTGTTTGTTTCGGCTTTTGCCCCACTTGATCACCCAAAAAAGACAAAAAACTCTGACGAAAAATACCACGTCCAAGAACAAATGCTTCAGTGTTTTGTCTCGCCGTACCAAATCGGGCCTTGGCTTGCTAGGGCCTTGGCGAGAGGCTTTTTTTTTTTTTTTTCTTGGACCAGTAATGAGACGAGCGCTATCTGCTGTTCCACATGAGAACCACATGCCTAAACGGGAAAGAATTTTTAAATTAAATAAATATTTATATTCTTCGAACATCTCTCTCTCCTCCATTTCAGTCCGTGCTCATCTTCCTCTGTTCTGTCTGCACAGGACGACTTGATTTAGGGTTTGATCAACATCATCATCTCTCTTTCCTTCCTGGTTAATCTCTCTTCCCCCCTCCCCCGGGTTTTTTGTGTGATTGGACTTTTGAGTAGTTTTTTGTTTTATCAGATTTTTTCTTGGATCCAAACGGTGCTGATATTCTTGTTTTTGTTCACTTGGTGCATATCTTATCTGTTTATTTTCTTACCCATGTCTCTCATGGTTTAGATTGTTCATGCATATGTTTTAAAGCTTCAGTTTTGATGTTTTGGGGGAAGGGATTTAAATTTCTAATTCTCTGAGTCTACCTGCATGATTTTGTTGTGTAGCTAGATCTGGATTCCTTGCTTGATTTCCGATAAAAGAAGATCGTTCAGGAAACTAAATTCAAGGTTTGATTGTGTTCTCTCTCTCTCTCTCTCTCTCTTTAAATTATGATTCAGTTGAAATGAGAAGACACAGACCGAATTAGCTTTGGGAGCAATCGAAGTATTTCTTGGCGTTTAATATCGGTTTTCTTCGGGGCCCACATTCTTTATTGCTTCCAGCTGATGAGTCATCGTGTAAGCTTGTCTAAAATGGAAGGGGCCTTCAGGCTCTGAAACGCCTTAATCAAGAGGCGATTAAAAGGCACATTCCAATGGCGCCAAAATAAGAAATGAAAATATGCTATGTAATGAAAAGGAAAAAAAGAAAAAAAAAAAGAGAAACGTAATTTGAAGAAAATGTCAAAGAGGTAGTGATTGACTTGTGAGCCTTGATATTGTACACTACATTTTCTTCTTTCTTCCTCTGTTCTGTCCATATTTCGTTAGCGGGAACTGTTTAGGAGCAGTAGGAGGTAGAGCAAATGATGTAGCGTGTGAGCTGCGAGTTTTGAACTGCTGCAGTTCCACTCTGAATTTGATTTTCTTCCTTTTTTTTAATGTTCCAGACTTAAGCTCCCCTATGGTTATGGTTGTCCATAATGTTTTGGGTTTTTGTGTTTGTTGACAAAAGTCTGAAAAACTGGCATCCTAAACAATCCTTTAAAGGTTGAGAGGCATTATTATACCCTATTCTCTTGAATATATTGGCTGCTGACTGGTCTGGGCTTTTCCTTCAATATTTGATTCGTTGATAATTTCACATCCTGCAAGTACAGAAATTTGGCTGGAGATAGTTCTTATTTGGTCCTATTCTTTCCTGCTTGAAATTTGTTTCTGTCTTACGTGTCAAAAGGACAAATATGGGAATGTTCTAATTATTTTATGTACATTTAATGATAATTACGTTTTTGTTATAATTTTGGGTATGGTAAATTTTACTGATCCAACTGGTTTGGTTTCCCTATTTGATTTCAAACTGGTTGCAGTTATTCAAGGATGTTTTCATGTTGTTGAAGGGTGGCACCATGTATATGATTATCAGCTTGGAAAGAGATAATGTCTGAACTGTTCTGATATTTTATATATTACAATATGGATGATGATAATGGACTAGAGCTCAGCCTGGGTCTATTTTGTGGTGGCTCATCTGCCAAACCCAAGGGTAAGAATGGTGCCATCTCAGATACCAGGACAGAAGAAGTTGGTAGGGGCGGAAAAATGGTTGATGAATTTAAAAGCTTTTTTCAGACTGATTCCCAGAAGCAAGACTTAGTTGCTGGTACTCATAGAGCAGATCCCCCAAAACCAGAGGAGAACTTCTTTAATGACCTTTCCAAGGACAAAGAAGGTGAAGCCTCTGCGAATGTAAATGGGAGAGGACTTTGGCTTGCCAACAGTAGTAAAAGTGTTGAAATTGAGGAAGATAAACGGTTAGAGGTGGGTAATAAACGAAAAATGATGTTTGATGAGATAAATCATCAGAAGAAGCATGAAAGTGAAGCCATTCATGACAAGGCTAGAGCATCACACATATCTCTAACAGAAGATGGCTCAGCTGCAGAAAATGAAGATGTGGCAGATTCTGAAGCCGAGAACTTAACCTCTAGGCCCACCTTATGCCATGACGATGGTTCCAAACGACTTACTAGAGTTGGTGGTTCTTCTGATGCTCTAAAAGAGATCCGAGGTGGTCCTGACTTGAGTCCTACTGATGTTAGTGGGCAAAAGAGGTTTACTGGTTCATCAGAAAATGATTTTAAGCTTGCAAATTTGAATTATGGTGCTTCCTTCCCTGTCCAACAAGTAAATGTGATGAATGTGCCTTATCCACCACCTATAAAAGAATCTAACTCTGTTGGTGCATCGGGCCCTCCAATACCTGGAGTGATGCATGTGATGTCTGCTGCAGCTGGTGAACGCCCAGGAGCTCAACCTTTGAATAATGGAAACTTGCCAGTGATGTTAGGTTATCCTTCTGTTCAGCTTCCAATGTTGGATAAAGAGAACTCATGGGGTTTGCTTTCGCATCCTCAACAAGTACATCCTTCCTTTGCTGGAAGGGCTCCACCAAATTCAGGTAAAAATAACTTATGAGATTAAAGGAAGACATCTCTAACTAGACTCTTAATTCAAACTTGTAAGATAACATGGACGAGTGATATGTGCATCTCCAATGGTATCTTCTTTATGCATCTGACACTTGTGACTTATTCGATGTTAAATTGAAGATTATCTGTATATATTTTCCGGCAAGCATCATGTATCCTACTCATGAACCAAATTTTAGAAATTGATAGAAAGTTGGAATATGAAATAAGTTTGAACCCATTTAGGTAAACAGATTTTGCCTTTTTTTTTTTGGTTGAAAATCTGATTGTAAATGACATTTTACTATTCCTGTGTCATTCTAGCTGCCATACAATTAATCTCAAATAATTTATCAGAGGCCATACCACGCGAAGGAAGGCTCCTAGATCGAACAAAAGTTGATGGAAAACAGCACATGGCCGAAGAAGGTGCTCCATCACAGGCTGAAGATGTGAAAGGAAGCAGCACAAACCTCAGGGCAAAAGATGTGCCTGACCAATCAGCAGGAGAAAGTTTCTCCATTGATTTTTCAGCTATCAAGCCAGGTCTTGCTGCCGATTTGAAATTTGGCGGGAGCGGTTCTTATCCTAGCCTACCTTGGGTTTCCACAACTGGTTCAGGCCCTAATGGTAGGACTATATCTGGTGTAACTTACAAATACAGCACTAACCAAATAAGGATAGTTTGTGCATGTCATGGTTCTCACATGTCGCCGGAGGAGTTTGTCCAGCATGCAAATGAAGATCTTCCTAACATGGAGGGTAGTGCAGTCTTGGGGACAAAAGCAAATGGAAATTCTGCAGCCTCCGCTCACAGCTAAGCTAATCCTGTATCATCCATTCTATCTATGAACAAATCAACAATTATCTCTTTTGTTATTTGCCTCTTTGCAACTGGAATCAACGTGGCAGTTGTATGAAATAATGGTCCACCATCAATTTTCTTCTGTCAAATAGTTAATTAAGCTTCTGATGTTTATGTCACAGCCTGATTTATCCTTTGAGTAATATATAGTAATTGTCTTGAGAAGAATTTCAGGGAAGCTATTCTTTTAAGTAGTGGGGAAAGTACAACGTTTCTGCCGGAGTAAATTAGGCTGTTCGTTGACATGTCTATTTATAATTGATTACTATGAATATAGTTGTGAATCATCTTTAAGAATTTGTGGTTAGACCATGTAGCATCTTTGACTTTTGATAATGTTACAAGATTCTAGTTAAGTATCGGGGAGAGAAGTTCTTGAACTGTGGTGGAGTTTAACATTTTAAATAGGTGATCTTGTTTGTCCGCTTTTTCATGTTGAATTTTGGCATATAAAGTTTTGTACTTTGTGTCTGTCATCAAAACTGAACTACATATGAAGGTGAAGTATTATTTTCTTTATTAATTGAATTAATTTCGTTGACTTGTAATGGTATAGTAAAGATGCTAAAAAACAGACTGGCCATAAGTGGACCAGTGAATGGATTGATTGTTGGGAGAATGACCATAAAGTTTCAAAATAAAAAGTTAATTATAGTTAGTTTTTTGATAAAAAATTTTAAAAATAAATTATAAATATTGATTTAAATAATTGTAAATAGAAATTTCAATTACAAAGTGAAAGCTATATTCAAAATTTAAGTGTCATAGATGTAATTAAAACTCTTGATTTTGTAAATATTGAAATTAATATTTAAAATTGGTTTTATAGAAAATTTTGTCAAAATTTTGTCGTGAACTTTAGTGTTACTCTCCCTTGATTTTTATTAACTTAATATATTTTTAATCATATATATATATAGACTATTTTGAATAAGAATGATAAGATGTAATTAAAAATACAAAAAACACTGATTTCAAATAAAAAATAAAAATTAAATTTAAAAATATTAAATCGAGTAAAGATCAGGAGTAAATTACAATTCTAAAAAGTTAATGCACATTATATAAGTTTAAAAAATAAAATAAAGTATATTTGTATTATACATGGTTATTTTCTGGCAAATATAAAACATGATTATTTTATGGCTTCTAATCTTATAATACATACAATAACAACAAGCCTTTATTTCACTACATGGGATTAGCTACATGGATTGTAAGACGTCACTATGCTCTATCATTTATTAAACTTTTAAAAATATTATTAATTAAGAGATCGCATTCAACAATTTTTAAGAGTATTCTCTTAAACCTTCCTCTACCCCTCTTAATAGGGCTCAAAGTTATATGTTCCACTCTTATCATTGATGCCTCCTGCAGCCTTCTTTATACATGTCTAAACCATCTCAAACGATTTTCTATCATTTTTTTTTAATAAGTGCTACCCTCACTTTTTCGCGTATGTGCTTATTTCAAATTTTATCTTTACGTATATGTTCGCACATCCATCATAACATTTTCTTTTCTGCTACTCCAACTTTATGCTCTTACTATTCCGTTAGAGCCTATCATTTACTACTATATAACATAGTCGGTCTGATAGAAGTACAATAGAACTTTCTTTTGAGTTTATTAAGCACTTTATGATCGCAAATAATTCTTTTAGCTTTTCTCCAATTAAATCACTCAACTTGAATCCTATGTAAGATATTCCCACTGATTTCACTATTATTTTGAATAATGACTGTCAAATGTTTAAACTTTTCCACTTGAGGTATAATTTGATCTTTCAATTTCACTTTCAAATTATTGCCAACTAGTCTCTTACTAAATTTACAATATAAATATTCTGTTTTATTCCTACTCAAATGAAAACCTTTTAACGGTCTTTCTTCATAACTCAAATTTACAATTAATATCTTCTCTTGTCTCTGCTATAAGAACTATATCATTCGTGAAAAGCATATATTTGAGAATTTTCCCTTGAATATGTTCCGTCAAAACATTTAGGACCAAGTTCAACAAATAAAGACTTAAAGATGATCCCTAATGTATTCCAATCTTTATAGAAAAGTCCTTTGTTTGACAACTAGACGTTCTTATATTAGTTTTTACCCTCTCATACATATTTTGTATAACTTTAATATAAGCAATCCATACTCTCTTTTTTTTCAAGAGTGTCCAAAGCACTTCTCTTAGTATACGATCATAAGTTTTTTTCAAATCAATAAAAACTATGTGTAAATCTTTATCTTTATGACGATACTTTTTCGTTGATCTCCTTAGTAGATAAATTACCTTTGTAGTTGATATATCTGGCATAAAATCAAACTAATTCTTAGAAATACTTATCTCCAATTTCAACTTATGCTCAATTGCTTTCTCCCACAATTTCATTGTGTGGCTTATAAGTTTAATCTCTTTATAGTTAGTATAATTTTGAATATCCCCTTTATTTTTATAAATAAAAATTAATGTACTTTTCCTCTAATCGTCAGGCATTTTCTTGGACCGTAAAATCATATTAAATAATTTAGTTAACCATCTTACCCCTTCTTCACTTAAACATTTTCACACCTTACATGTTTTAGATGTCTTGATTTTCTTTTCCTACTCTTAATAATTTTATAAATGTTTCATTTTTTTTCCTTTATCTCAAGGCTCTTATAAAATTTTTCAAAAGTTTTAGAACGAGCTTTACTTGCAACTCTCTTGGTTTTCTTCTTAATCATACGATACCTTTCCCAAATTTTCTTTTCATAATACATACTATGAATTTATTTCTTAGTCTAAATAAAAAATAAATTAAAAACTTGAATGTTTTATATCAACTGTGCCATCAATTCTTTTTTTCTTTTCTGTCCTTTTTTTTTTTATATTTTAAATTTCTAATAGTTCTCTTCAGGAACACTTCATCCCATTTTTTGAATTGGTTCAATAACTAGTTTAATTAACCAGTTTGGTTCAATTTTTCAACTATAATTCAGGCTTAAAACATAAATGAAGAATCTATTTTTTTATTTTATATTATATATGCATATAAATCATCGAAATTTACATTATTGGACCAAAATATGACAGGAAGTTTCATAGGAAACACAGCTGAAAACATGACAGATGTCTTTCACCATAACATTTTCGGATTCATTAAGAACAATTATCCATTCGAATTAACAATTATCTAATTCCCATTCAATTATGCTATAAAATATAAACAATTTTACACGTTTAAACTAGTATAGTAAGAAGAGGGGGGAAAACTATTGATTTGACCAGACATGCAAGATAATCCTCTGCTTGCTTGCTCCAAATAAGAACATCACAACCTTGTGACAACACCAAGACAAACATATCCTTGTCAACAGCCCCAAACGCATGTGCGCGCGCGTCTATACGCACACACACACATACATAACTTATTAAATGTCTTAAAATTAAAAAAATTCTAATTTTATCTCCATTAAAAATAGGTAGAAAGAAATACACAATATAGATGAATTATAAAATTAAATTTGTAATAAGTGTAAAATTAAAAAATAATAATAAATAATCTTACATGTACTTTATATTAAGAATCAAAGATTTTTTCTAGAATTATATAAAAAAAAAATCTTTGTAAAAGTTATCATGTAATAAAGACCGAAGGAAAAGAGTAATATTTATATATATAATAGTTGAAATGATTAACTTGGAATTCCGATTCTACAAAAATTTTCTTACTTTCTTTTATTAAAACGAAAAACAAAAAACTTGCGTCAAGCCTTCGAAGGCCAGCTAAATATAAGGGCAGAGGCAGGATTGTGAATTAGGGGTGGGACTACACGTCGTATGGAATATAAAAATAACAATAATGGTATCTTAAAATGGGGACCAAAAGTAGTTAATATAATTCGTATAAAGTGAATGGGAAAGGGGGCAAGAGAAGAAATTAATTAATTAGTGATGGTGAACCTAATGCCCACTTTTCCTTTCAATCTATGGCACATTAAGAAGTGGAGACAAATGGAGACAAATGCTGCTTTCGATCCTAAATATAAGAGTTACTTTGAAAATTTGTTTTAGTCTTGAGTATAAGATCTTAATCCTTTTTTTCCTCTCATATTTATCATTATTTTTTCTAGAACTACTCCAATTAATTGCACACCTTATTGCATGTCATCAATAAAGGTAATTTTGGGATAATGATAATAAAATCCTAAAACTTGAAATTTATGATAGTTAAGTCCTCGATAAAATTTTTTTAAAAAATAAGTTGCAAATAATAATTTAAATAGTTGCAAATAAAAATTCCAACTATAAACTAATAGTTAGATTTTAAATTTAAATATCTTATATGCAGTTAAAACTTAGACTGGTATTATATAATATCATATAATATTAGCCTATATTAGAACTCCTGAATTTATGATTATCTAAATTAATATTTATAATTTATTTTTTTAAATTTTTTTCAAGGACCTAATTGTTATAAATTCATTGATTTGAAACTTTAATGTCATTCTCCCTCTAATTTCCAATACAATTAATTAAGAGGAGGGGTATTTTAGAAAAATTAACAATGTTTAACTTTACTAATTTTCTTAATAAGTGTGAATTTGTTATCTAGATCCTATGTTTAGGATTCAAGAAGTATCTTTTTAATTTTTTCCAACTTAAATAATTAACTTCTACAAGTACAAATATAGTTTATATTTAGTAGGGGACCAAAATAGAAAAAAGAAAAAAAAACTATCTAGTAAATAATAATTGCCACTTGTCTAGTTGACTTGGTGCTTGTTGATGATATTAAAAACAGCATTAATAATGTAACAGACTACTAAGAAGCATAGCTACATTTTAAAGATAATCCAATGATTATGTGATATTGTTAATTTTCCACACACAAAAAAAAAAAAAAAATTGGGGAATGTCCACCTTACAATATCCAAACACAACATTTTTGACATGTGGCAGCGCAAAATTCTGTTTCATTATCAAGATCAGCCGTCAAAGTGCATTTTACCAAACTGCCTTTAACATTTTTAATCCCCAATAAAACCCCTCTTCCTTGCCTAGAAACTAAACAAACAGAAAATATTTTCTTTATATTTTTTAAAAAATAAAATCAATAGATAAAAAATTGGTTTATTTCTAACCACTAGGATCCACCGTTATTTATATATATATATATATATATCTCCTAAAAAAAAAAGTCTAACAAATAATTAATTAAAGTTGACGTTAATAGTAGGGATTCTCATTATTTAAGCAAGTGGCTACATATTTTAATATCAGTTTTTGTGCATGTAATAATTTAGTTGAAAAATGCCAACTTTATCTTAGTAACTCAAGAAAGATAATGTTTGTTATTGGTAGAGTTTTCTTTTTGTGCTTCCAAAAAAAAGTTCAACAAGTAACTTAGGATAAAAACTTTATGAATGGAATTGATCCAACTTAACTAGAGGCTTCAAATTCAAACCTAAAGAATATAACAACATTAGTGATAAAGTTTTAGCGTGAAAAGATCTTGTCTCGATTCGATCTTGATTAATTTAGACAATATTAAGTCTCCTTAACTTGATTTGAGGCAAGCCAAAGATACCAAATATTTCACTCCAAAATGAAGATGTTGTTCCACAAGTTCAATAAAAGTGGGAAATTTGTGGATTGAATTTATCAGTGTAACCTAATATTTGTCCTGAAGGTAAAATGAATTAACTTAATCTTCCATGCCTATGGAGTTAAAATAACATGAAAAATTGCGTCAGGATAAAACTTGTTAATCGGGTTATGTCATTTAGAAGCACGATATCGATCTAGTCATTACTTTCATATTTTTAAACGAAATATTTTAATATTTTTAAGAGCAAAATGTAGCCTAAGAAGAAACCAAGAAAAAAAACAAGAAGTCATTATTTGTGGAAATAAAATAATCTAACAAAAAGTCCAAGCTCACCAATCCTATTATTATAAATTTGGAAGCTTTGAAAGCACGAGATCAGAATTTTTTGTTTACTCTTTTGGTTCCGGTAGAATCATCATGAACCATTTGGGTTTTCATCTTCTGTTTCTGAACTGTCTAACATTCTTCTTCAGATTTTTCCCTTGCCAAGCACAGGTTTCAACTAGTGCTCCTTCTCAAGATGTTGTCTCCAATTTCCGACCAAGTCTTGCGGTTGTCATAGGAATCCTCAGCTTCATGTTTGTTCTAACATTCTCTCTCCTCATGTTTGCCAAGTGCTGTAACAGAGGAGCTTCATCAGTTCATGGCAACCCAGAAGGTCAACCTTGGCTTATCAGAACGAGGTCAAGATTCTCAGGAATCGACAAGACTGTCATAGAATCACTTCCCTTCTTCAGATTCTCTTCCTTAAAAGGATCAAAAGAAGGTCTTGAATGTGCTGTTTGCTTATCAAAGTTTGAGGACATTGAGATTCTCAGGCTACTTCCGAAGTGTAAACATGCCTTTCACATTAATTGCATCGATCATTGGCTTGAGAAGCATTCTAGCTGTCCTCTTTGTAGACACAGGGTTGATCCTGAAGATCAGACCATTTTCACATATTCTAACAGCTTGAGGCTGCTCATTAATGGTGGAGCAGAACTGGAGGAAGAATCCAACCTAGGGCTTTTTATTCAGAGAGAGGAACAAGAACAGCCAAATGGATCATCATCAAGATTCAATTTTGGAAGCAGCTTCAGGAGAATCATGAAGGGTTCTACAAAAGAGGAAATTGCAGCTGATGAAGATGGTGGTGGTGATCACAAAAAGGTCTTTCACAAGCACAAACACAAGATTACTGCATCAGATTTCGTTTTGAAGAATCGATGGAGCAACGTGAGCTCCTCAGACCTCATGTTCTTGAACTCGGAGATGCTTGGTTCTACTTCAAGTGTAAGACTTAACAGTATAGCACTTAATGATCATGATCAGAGTCAGGTTTCACCAGAAGAATTAGAAAATGGGCAAGTTATGAACATCAAGGAGGAGATGGGAAGGGAGGTTTCTTTTGACAACAAAGTGATGAGTGGACTGAAGAATAACCTCAATTCTGATTCAGATTCTGCAGGATATCCCAGCCATACATCCAAAAATGTGAATCCAGATGAGAAAAGATCAGTATCAGATATCACAGCTGTCCCTAGATTTGAAGCTTTGGGCATGAAAAATGATAATAAGGGTTCATCTTTGGTTGATGATCAGAACAATGTGAAAGAGGAAAGAGTGAGGCAGATTTGGCTACCAATTGCCAAAAGAACAGTTCGATGGTTTGTGAACAGAGAAAAAAGGTTTCAGCAATCTCTGAATGTATAGCTTCAATCTCATCCATCACCAACTTCAACAAGGTAATTTGCATAATATGGGAATTCATGTCAACTCCCTGATTAAACTAATAAACTATTAAACTCGTATTTAACTGGTTTAATAAAATATTTTACTTATGATTGGTTTCATCATAGTTTGATAATGGTTTTGACCATTATTATTTAAAATTGAAACTTTTAAATTTGTAACTGTTTAAATTAATATTTACAAGTTGTTTTTGAAAAAATTTTATCGAGGACATAAGTATTTTTAACTCTTTTTTTTAGGATTTAATTGTCACTTTCCCTTAAATTTATGTCTTTCACCCTTTGATTGGTATGCAAATTATTATTATTATTATTATTATTATTATTAGTATTTGGTGTGAGCTCGCCTTTGATCCAAACCAATCAGTCGATAACTTTTGGGCACTTTTTTGGAGGGCATCCACTATATATGCAGATGAAGAGTTGGCTTTAGATGTATTTTTCAGTAGTTTGGGTTTGGCTAAAATATGAAAATAATTAACAAGACAAGTTAAGGAAAAGGAAGCTAATTGCTTGCCACCCTGGATCCATTAATCAAGCATGTTCTGTTTTTTTTTTTTGTTTGCTTGTCTTTTTATATTAAGAAAAGCAAGAGGCCAAAGAACAAATATTAAAGTTTTTCATTATCTGATCAAATTGAATCCCAGAAGTGAAACCATCTTCCTCAAAAGATATTGCCTTCATTTGATTAGGTAACATGATCCATCTCAATCTTCAACTGTTCATTTTCAATTCATTCCATAAAAAAATTAATTTATTATTGAGAGAACATAAAACCTCTATCACTATTTTAACTATAAAAGAAACATAAATTCCAAATTATAAGAAATGATTCATTCAGTTTTCCCCCCAAAAAATGACCCCTCAACCTTGAGCAATACAATATTGGGTGGTTCGTAGTTAGGAGAGGAAATATTTTGTATTTTTCTCCTAACCAAACAATACAGTAAATTATAGTACAAAGTACAAAAATATTCATCTGGGGACAGTTGGTGAATTTTTTATTTTATTTTTTGGAAGATGATTTATATTTATTTTTTTTCGTTTTTTTTTTTTTGTTGTTGTCATTTATTGCACTTACTAGAAGAACTACAATTTGAAGATTTAATAGGGCAATCAGATTAAAATGAACAGCGGAAATTTTCTTAAAGGACGAGGTTAAAAACTCATATTATACTGAAAAAAAAAACTCAAATTCTACTCAACGTAAATCTCACTTTAGTTATACATTAGACTTTCTCATTCTTCTCTAGTCAATCTTTGAACGTCAAGAAAAATAATTAACAACAAATGCGCAAGCATAAAAAATAAATAAAATGAACAATTAACTTCATGCTTCTATAAAATACAAGAAAATTACAATTAAGTTCTAAAAGAATGAATTGATAATAATTAGGTCTTTAAGTGCAGTTAAAATATTTAGATTCTAAATATAATTATTAAATTGCATTTAAAATTTTTGTTTATAACTGTATAAATTAATATTTACAATTTATCTTTTATTAAATTTTATTGAAAATCTAACTGATATAAATTTAAACTTTAAAAATTTTATTGTCATTCTATCATTAAAGAAAGGGCAAATTACTGAGTCGCAAGAATTTATGATACAATAATATGATACACTGTGAAGCTAAAGATGGCTAAGCACTGTCAAATTGCTTAAAGTCAACCAATTGATAAATAGAACAAAATATTAATCTGAAGATAAAAGCTCATTGTAAATTATTGCAATATATATAAAGTCAATGTCTCATTATTGGGGAAAAAATATACTCCCTTCGTTTAAAAATGTAAGGTATTTTTAATTAAATATAAGACATTTTTAATTAAATATCACCATCTAATGAAATAGTTATGTACTTTTCAACTAACCCTGTCTTTACATATTTATCCCTATTAAACACCCTATAATAAATATAAAGTCATTATTAATAGGGGCACTTTTGGAAAAAAAAGGTAATGATTACACCCAAAAAGACTAAAAATACTTTACATTTTTGAATATCCAACTCTTCAAAAAATGTCTTATATTTTTAAACAAAGAGAGTATGCATTACATAGAGGTGCAAGGGAAGAAATACATGTTTAAAAGAAAAAGGTGGAAAATAATACATGTTCTTCAATGGACTTGAAAGAGATGAGTTATTTTTTAAAATGTAGAATTAGGCTAATACTTAAGAGGGGGTAAATTGAGAGGTCATAAAAATTTTTAAAAACTATTTACCAACTAAAAAGATAAAGCAAAGTGTAGAACAATTTATGCACAAATTTGTAAATAAGAAATGAGTTTTTGATTGAGAAGAAAAGTGGATATAGAAGATTTATAATGGTTCAGCCTACATCTAGTCTTCAAGATCACATTTAAAATTTTTTATTATAAATACAAACTTTGATGTGTGCTTGCCACTACATTACAACCACAAGACACAAACAGTCTTAATTTTTAACAATAAACTTACTTATACAAATAAGCTGTTACAATTCTTACTTAAAAAAAAAATCCTTTTTAAGATTTCTAAAGACAAAATAAAAATAACTTTTTGAAATTCAGACTCTTTAAGAAGAGTAGGTATAAAACAATGAATGTTTATAAATTGCTTGAGAGCTTTTTCAAATAAAGAAATGAATGCAAGATACTAAATGCCCATTCATGTTATTAACTACTCACTTAAATGAGGTTTTACATATAGAATATTATTTTTTGGATGTCAGAACCCTTGGAAGACAGATTATAACTATTGGAGACTTGCTGAAGTGATCACAGACAAAAAGCACTTTTTTCATAAAGTGCATTAAATACTGTCAGAACTCTCATTCATGTGTAGACAAGAGTGATCCAAACATGGATGAGCTCTCTTCACCTTAGTGTACTTATCACTTCACATTGGCTTAAGCATGGGCCAATTAGGGTATAAAGTGTGCATGATATGTATAAAACACGAAACTTCTCTATGAATCTAAACACATTGGTAATTTAAGTACCAAATATGAATGAGTGCACGGAGGCACCTTACCTCTTTGTGATGTGGATCATGCTTGGGTAACTTCTGAACCAAGCTTGAATAGCTTGTTCAAGACTTAGGCTTACTTTAAGTCAGGCTTGAAGGTTAATAAGTGATGCATTCATTCAAGCTTGGATTCAACAGAATCCAAGTGTGAGTTGCTTTTTAAACATACTTCAAGTTGACACTTAGGATCAATTAAGCATGGTAAAAATAATATCTAAGCTTGAATTTGATTACAGAAGTTCAACCAAAACATTTCTACACATTGTCTTGCTAATCAAGCATGGAGACATGAATATCCAAGTGTGAATCAACATACAATGTTATGTCTTCACTTATGATTCTCTAATTCAAGCAAGGTACAGTTATGGTTCAAGTTTAAATAAAATTCTTTAAGTTCTATATGTACAAAACATGATCAAATATACGTGGAACACTTATAGCCCAAACGTGAATGAAAAAATGTGAAACATAAGTGCATATAGATATGTATCAAACAAGCGTAGACATTTCTTATCCTTTTATAGATAATGCTTTTTAACCTTAAGGACTAATGAGCTTATGACTTTCTACATGATGCTTTACTTTAACTTATATTTAATTTCTCAATTAGTTTTTCACAAATTTATCTAGAAGAATAAAATAAATGCATCCTATGAAAATTTCTTTTTCTTCTCTTGATTCATCATTCTCATGCATAAGATGATGGCTTCTAGTCTTCTTTTTCATGCTCATTTGTCTTTAAGTGCAACATATTTATGATGATTTCTTTTATAACTTTTTCATGCTCACTCTTCCTTGATGTTTTGTTACTTAATTCATGATATTCATTATGCCAAATAACAAACACCCTTTTCTTGATTTTGTTATTATCAAAACATTTAGTTTAATAAAAAAAACCCAATAAAAAAAAAAGGATTCCATAGAGACCACTGGTAACATTTTCTTTAAAAAATAATCCTTTTTGTTTGGTGGTCACCTCCTCATTGGTTATTTAAATATAAAATTCCCATATAAAACAAGATGCACTTATATAAGTGATAACTTTGAGGGAAGATAATTAGGAGAAAGTAATCTACAAAATTGTATAGTTTTCCTCAATTTTAAATTAGATTTATGTAGTTTATTTTATTTTAATCAAGCCCTTATAATTTGATTGATTAATTATGTTAATCTAGTAAGTTAAAATTATTAATGTATAATTAAATTTTGTAATAATAAAATATTTTTAAAATTTATAGAAAACTTGATTCAACACTTTTGGCCAAAACAAGGAAAAAATTGACTTAATACAATATTTTTATTTTTATTAATTTTTTTAAAATTTTTATAGGTATAAGAATTATTTAGATGACATAACTTAATTATATAAATTTTTATTTTTAATAATAATGTAATTATTTCTAAAATTATTTAATATTTTAGTAAAATAACCCTATAAAATTTTTTATTTTTAAAAAAATAAAAATTGAAGGATGTTAATTGTAATATATTTAATTCATCAAACTATAAGAACTTGATTAAACCATGATAAATTATAAAAAATTAATTCAAAATCGAGAGAAACTTAAGGAAATGTAGAATAATTTTATTTAATAATTCTAATTTAAATTTTAGGGGTTTCAAAAATTATTATTTATCATATATTAAAAAAGAGAGAGAGAGAGAGAGAAATATCACCAGAAATATATAAAATTAAAATAAAGTGAAAAAAGACTAATACTTTTATACATAGTCATGTTTCATATAGTTTAAATATATAGTATAAAGAGATCAAGCTGCTGCTGCTGCTAATAATAATAATAATAATAATAATAATAATAATAATAATAATAATAGCATTTATTTTATTTGTTATTATAACTTCATTTGCACATGATAATATGTACAATGACCATTATCATAATGTTGCGTTAGTTGAGCAAAGTTCCATTTTCTTGTTTTTGCGGTGGGTGTCATTTATGGTCTTTATATCCCCTCGGAAAAACTAGACTCTAATCACAAAACGCCACGTCTCTTGCCTCAACTCATGCATGTTGGATGGGAAAATAAATAAATAAATTTAGACGTAGCCATATCCAATTGTTTCAGTTTAATATATATATATATATATATATACATATAGTTGTATTAGATACCACATGTATCTAATACTTGTTCGACACCAACTGATTCAACAATTCCACAGCCATCATTTTCTCATAAAAAAACGTATGTCAATGGAATTTGTCTCCTTTTTTTTTTTTTTTTTCAACTCACAACACAGATCTTGCATGCTTAGCGCTCCAGTGGGATGTCTTAATGGTTGGTCAATTTGGGTAAAGAAGCTCCCAAAAAAAAAAAACGATTATACATTGTCTGATCCTAATTTATTTAATTAGGGGCACAAACTTTGCAGAAAATCAAAGAAAGGTCCTAAAAAAATTACAATTTAAAACACCATCTGATAAATGTTTTACAGTTTAGTCTGACTATGACAATGTTGTTTTCAAAAGGGGACCCGAGATCACTTCATTTAACACTACTACAAAAATGCTATATATAGTAGCTATTTTTAGCTATATATAGTGATTTTAACTGCTATATATTATGATACTATACATTTTTTAAGCCAATATATAACGGTTTTTAACCACTATATAATTGCCAATTATATAGCAGTTGTTTGGAAATAACCATTATATAATTGCCAACTATACAGTGGCTTTTTTATTTTTACTATACATATGAGAACTTTGTTTTAAAAGTAGAAGTAGCAATTTTAGTAGCCCTTACATTATATTTTTTTTTACAAATTTTGAGAGAAGTAAAATGAAAATTTAAAAAAAATAAAGATTGGAGTAGTAGAGACAATATCCACACATGAAATTAACAACAATTGATATTAAAGTATTCCACTAACAATTAAAATAAAAAATAGAAAAACAAAAACTATAGATCATGAAAAAAAACCTTCTCATGAAGGAGACAAACTCAAATTAGTATCGCACATATCTAAAAAAACCATAGATTTGAAACCAAAAATTAAAAATTGTGGTTGTAAGTCTGGAACTCTAGCCTTCTGTTTAACAATATATAATCGACGATGATGATGAGACAGAATAGAGGGAGAGTGATGTCGGCAAGATCAAGTACCACCCAGATTAGACGATAGTGCACGACACCATTTGTGCACATAGAATGAAGGAGAAGGGATGTTGGCCGCATTAAAGATCATGGCCGGAGTTGATTGTGTGAGTGGTGAAGATGAAGATGAAGATGAAGACTTAAAAGCTAGGGTAAGGGAGAGGGTTGAGTGTGGAGTGGAGGAGTAAGGTTGCGTGAGAGAGAGAGAGAGAGAGAGAGAGAGAGGGAGAGGGAGGGAGGGAGAGCGTTGAGTGTTGTGAAAGTGAAGTGTGAGGGATGAATTTGAATATGATAAATGACAATGAGAGAGAGAGAGAGAGAGAGAGAGAGTATATGTGCCATTGGATAAAAAACTCAATAGTTCATAGATAATAATAACATCAATCCGTGTGTTATATAAAATTTGTGTTTTTTAAAGTTTTTAGAGTCAGAAAACTATATAGTGATTCTTTTAAATAACTACTATATAGTAATTGACTATATAGCGAGCGACTATATAGTGGTTATTTAAAAGAACCGCTATCTAATCTTTAGAAAAAAAAATTCAAAAAAAAAATAGAGAGACTTTATATGCGGTTCTTTCTAAATAATCGCTATATAGAATTATATAACAATTATTTAGAAAGAATCATCATATAGTCTCTAGAAAAAGATTTTAAAAAAAAGAGAGACTATATAGCAGTTATTTGCTATAAAGTTTCAAGATTATATGGTGATTATTTCAAATAACTACTATACATTCTCTTTTCCTAAATCTTACTTCAACTATATAGTGGTTTTTTAATAACCACTATACATAAGGCACTATATATAACTTTTTTTAGTAATGTTTTGTGCTCTTTTTCGAACTCTAATGGCTCTTCTCCTAGGGTTTGGCCAAAACTTGATAAAAGAGGGGTTCAAAAAGGTCCAAGGGTCATTTCATCAAGGTATTTGTAATATTTTAAGTTTTAATTTCTTCATTTCTCTTCAAGATTTATTATTTTGATTGTGAATTAGATGAATGAGTTGTCTTGAATTTAAATTGTTCGAGTTGTAAGGTGTTTGAATGATGTAATTGTAATAAACCACCACAATTAACCCACTAATTAAACTCCACTACTATGGTAATTGAGGTTAATGTCCCAAATTAACCATTACCATAGTAGGAAAAAGCTTAACCATGGTTATAAGAAAAACAAGAGCAAAAATAAATAGAAAATACTTTGAAATTAGGATCCTAACTTAAAATTAGTTTCCAAACCTATTTGAGTTTAAACACCATATTAAAGTAATCAAACAAACAAAAGCAATGGAAAATCCTCAAATAGGATCATCCAGTATCACAAGGAAAAAATAGTCAATTCACATAACTTAAGCATCTTATCATAATTGAACTCCCAAACCAATGATGCAAGCACACTCACCTTGGGAGTCAACATGTAACATGCTTCTTATTGTACTAGATAACTTAACCATATATAATCATTAAATCAACTACATGGTAGAAAAGGAAGAGAGATAATTCAAAAATCCACCACATTAGAAAAAGATCTTTCTCAAAATTTGGAAAACTAACTATGGTGGAAAAGAATTTAACAAAGCATTTGAAAACCCTAAATGGTTACAAAAGTAACTTAATTAAGTCAAAACATTAACCATGATAGAAAAGATTTAATTATACATTCAAAGCAACTATCATGGTTAAAAATAATTAATCTTAACCTAGCTTTTGAAAAAAAAAAAACTATCATGATAAAAATTTCCATTCAATCAATCATAAGAGAAACCATAAACAAAAAGTCCAAACCAACTCTCAAATCAA